GCGAAACCATCGTCTATCTGGCGAACATGGGATTGGCTAATAATTACTTTTGATTTTATGTATTGTTGCTTTTGGTGAATAAATTTGTTGTTGTTTTTTATTTAGGACTACAGCAAATAGACGTCAAGTGGAGAACGACGGTCGAGGAATGGGAAAGCCTAAATGGCGATGTACGTATGGGTGGGGAGAAGGGGGAGGGTTGTCACGACGTATGGCGGAAGTTGAGGTGTGGCACCGTTTACTGCTAAGCAGGAAAGGTTAATTTGGGGTATTGTAAATAAGCTCAATGTATTTTCTGAGGAGAAGACTGTTGTGTGAGCTCCGCACACTCGTTCCGGTTGATTCATAATGTATGTCGAAGTTTTTTCAAGAATCGATGTCGGTTTGAGGTACAGTCGATATCCGAAAGTTGGGGTGGGTGTGTCACCGGAAGTGACGTGCACTTGATAGAAGTGCGTGGATAAGCTGTTGCCAGCATGCTTTGCTGATAGCCAGCGATGTATGTTGGAAGCAGCTTATCCACATAGTTTCTATCAAGTGCACGTCACTTCCGGTGACACGCCCACCCCAACTCACCGATATCGAGTATATCAGGAAAATGCTAGAAGATCGAAAGCAGCTTGAAGAGGAGCTGAACGCTCATACTCTAGAAATGAGGAGACGGGGAAAAAAAGGGGGGGGGGTGAGGGGAGGAGAGAGTCATGATCACTCTGAATTGTATTACATAAAGAAAACTATCTAGGAGGGAGCGCGCAGGTGAGGGCAGAACACTGGACTCCTGATCGATATCTATCGAAGTGTAGGGACCCGGCGATGAACGGTCCTTCCCCAATGCCATCCCATGGTTCCTCGACTGGTCAATCACTGCAAGATCGGCTGTTCAGGGTTAAAAACTAACTCCATTTCCAGGTATTAATGGATGTTGTCCTACTGCTCAGAAAGAGTAGAGTATTACGCAAGTGTAGGTGGCATTCGCTCAGTACCAAAAATTTTCACTAATTGTGCTTATGATCATGGTGTTATGGTTCTTATTGGGATCAAGTACCATTGAAACAAACGCGGAAGCGCATAAGCCTTGGTACCGCCATACTTGATTTCGAACTATTTGCCAACTACGAAACCGGTACCTTACGCGCAGCCGTGATTATGTATTTCTGGGTGTGGATGAGAGGCTAGCCGCAGGGGATAACAAATGGATGCCATTTCCCAGTGCTACCCTCGGTTTTTAATGCATGAGTAACTCAAACGTAAGTTTACAACCTTCACTAAGTGCGTCAGGTCAGCCCATCAATAGAGAACAAACATCAGATGAAAGCTCTAAGCGACTTTTATATGCAGTTTTACTTATCTAAAACTGTGGAGTTGTTCGAACTCTTTCAGTCAAAATAGTTGCAAAAGAGCTTCGTGTGTACTTGTTCGCAAGCTCCCAGCCTGGTAGGTTGTAGGGATACCAGTGCAAAACTTCTTTTATGGTAGTCTTCTTCGAAAAAAAGATAATACCGGATCACTTTTTTCCAAAAATGCTGATTCAGGGGTGCGGTTCACTAAGGACAGAAAGCGACTTTTTTTGCGTTTCGCAGCGCGAAACATTTTTCGCTGCGGGAACCTCAGGTCCACTCATGATCAGCGGTGGACCTGAGGTTCCCGCAGCGAAAAATGTTTCGCGCTGCGAAACGCGAAAAGTCGCTTTCTGTCCTAGTGAACCACACCCTGATTTACTCAGTAGATTAGTGCACTTCTGGCGAGAATTATTTTGAATACACTCGTAATGGACCACGTGTTATCGGTTCTGCTAGTGCTGTGTCTTCCGTGGGTCCTGCAGATGCGGCCACGGATTCATTTGCGGTCTCCCAATGCAGCTGTTTGCTTTGTTTGTAAGTTTCTTTCTTAGTGCAATTGTACCATTTGTGCTCATTAATGTGCGTCTGTATGCTTCTTTATAAAATTTAAACGGTCACTAAATACAAAATGGTTCGAATATTTATGTGTAATCGATTCATGTTTCACTCATTTAATCCAATGTTGAGTGAAGGGATGCGGTTTGCTAGGAGAGACAGCAAATTTTCCGTTTTTCGCAGCGCGAAACTTTTTTCGCTGCAGGAACCCCAGGTCCACTCTGATCAGTGGTGGACCTGGGTTCCGCAGCGAGAAGTTTCGCGCTGCGAAAGCGGAGAATTCGCTTTCTGGCTTAGCGAACCACATCCTGAGTGAAGGTTCGATCTTGTTTAGCGATTTTGGAGGATCTATCAGATCCCTTTCTTCCAATGCAGATGCCGTGCTATCCAGAGTAAGAAGAAAAAGAAAAGACAAAAGCCTGTAGGTTGCGCAATTTTTAGAATCGCCACGTTGCTTGACAAAAAAAGGAATGTTCATGTGGTATGTGTTCAATTTACCAGCATTAAGTTTGCGTGAACTTTGGGAAGTGACCGTGAGTGTTTATATCAGCGTTTGACAGATGAGTATGCGTTCTTAAAGAAATCTTTCTCGGAAAATCTTGCATTCTTTCCAACACGCATATGTCAGTTGTGATCACTAGAGACAACATACAAAGTTTCACGCACAAAGATTCAGTTTCCGAAGAGAAACAAACTTACAAAAACACACACTATGGACAATCGAAGGTAAAGGCGCGGAGCCAAAGGGGATGGAAAGAAGTCCGCCTTGGGGCGGCTACGTATCAGGCGACGCAATGAAAGAATCGCGCGATTTTGGAGAGTAGAAACAAATCGATCGAAAGAATAGGATGCAGTAGAGGTTTGAGATAATGCATTGAGTCGACAAGTTCTCTTTCAACCACAGCACACTTCATGAAAGACACTTTATTCTTCTACTACGGTCGTACTGAGCACCACACTTTTCCTAGACTGTCTGCAGACTAACATTTGATAACTTGACTTTCACCTTTCCTTGACATCGAAGCTTGACCGACTTCACCCTGACCCTTCTCCCAAGCGGGTTTCCCACTTGTAGTTGGTGAGAGCTCTTCCTCCTCGTGCGCCGGGCATTACTGCCTTCGCCGCTACAGGTCCTCCCGCCCGAGGCGTCTCAGCCCAAGGATAGGTAGATGAGAACAGGCAAGCGGTTTCCGCCGCTCGAAGACTATTGCCGACAGAGTGAGCCACACAGGAACCCTGCTACCGCCTCCGAGCTGCTTAAGTACCCATAGAAGTGTCCCTTATACTGCATTGAGTTGGGGTATTGAAATCTGAAGATTGGAGGTACAAGCATAACTGAAATGTAACATCGTCATCCAGGTATGCTGTAGTTCTGTTGTTAGAGATGAAGCGCTTATATTGGATAATACTTTGATGAAAAGGCAAGGTTGGTCACCTCCATTTTGGTGTTGCCAAATGTGCGCTCCTCACAAGGCTTGATGGGTACCCCCCAGGAGGCCCGTCGCGCGGCAAGAAGGCAGAGTCGGCGGACGAGTTGCAGCGCGTGATGTGCGATGTAGGACGTGCAATGGGACACTCTATTTAACTTGACGCGAAATCCCTATAGTGCGCGCGACTCGTCCGCTGACTTTGCCTTCTTGCCGCGCGACGGGCCTCCTGGGGGTACCCGGTTCTTTGAGTTTGTTCAGGATCCAGCTGTTCAAGTTTGAGTTTAACGGTTTCATATCAAGAAGAGCATTGAAAAACTTGTGCACGTCGTTATCTGAAGGGACATGATAGATCCGATAGAATAGGCATCCGGAGGAGGGGAATCCACATGAACATCCCCATCCTCCGATGACTCTGTACAGTAGGTGATCCCTGTAAAACTTATTAGCTATGTCAAGCTCTTCTACGAAGTGTATCCGTGGAGATTCCCGGCACATTTGAGTCCAGTACATGAACCCCTGTGTGGAACATCTTTTGCTGGATAGCGCATGAGTTCCCGTATATTTCTAAACCGGTAAATGAGGA